TTATGTTGCCGACAGTGGCCACAGTCTGGATGCTGGAACAGAGTCGAAGCCAGTAATCGTTAGCACAGCGCCTTGCAGTTTGTTGAACTCTACTGCGGGCAGTACAGAGGGCCTGTAGGTTCCTTTCTGAGGGCAGGTTCTTGTAGAATGAGAGTGCTCGTCTCTTTTCCTTTACGATGGGTAACAGTTCCTCTGCACTGGCCTCGAATCAATCTGCTGACTTGTTCTGCCTCTTACCGAAGGTGGACATGGCAGTGTTGAAAATAGTGCCCCTGAGATGTGACCACCTCTCACTTGTGCTATCGCAGGGTGGTACAGGAAGGGCATTTATCAGCGCTGCAGTGAATTCCTCCACCTTGTGAAGGTCACGGGTCTTGCTTATGTTAATGCGTGGTCTTCCCTCCTTCTTTGCTCTGTGGATTTTCCGGGGCTGGAACTTTACTCTTTAAACGACGAGAGAGTGGTCGGAGTCACAATCTGCGCTCTGGAAGCTGCGGGTCAGTTTGACGTTTCTGAGATTGTTACACCCCGTAAGCACCAGATCGAGTTGGTGCCAATGCTTAGACCTGGGATGTCTCCAGGAAACCTTATGCTGGGGCTTGGTGTCGAAGAAGGAATTGGTGATGCAGAGATCATGACAGCAGCAGATCTCCAGGAGGCGCTGCCCACTCTCATTCATCTTCCCAAATCCAAACTAGCTCAGGCAGAGAGGCCAAGAGCTGTGATCAGAACCAACTCTTGCATTAAAATCGTCCAGGAGGAGGACTGGCTCTTGTTGAGGTATGTCTCTGAGAGTTAGGCCGAGGTCATCATAGAACTTGTCCTTCGCTTCGGTAGAGGAGGTCAGTGTTGGTGCATAGGCGTTGATGAGGCTGACCATTCCTACTGCTGTATGAATCTGAAGTTTGATGTTCCTTGCAGACCCCCCCGTGGGCGGTACTATGGACCCTAACAACCTGTTCCTGATGGTAAAGCCAACGCCATGCTCCCTTACCTCTTCTGGTGGTTTGCCCTGCCAGAAGAAGGTAAAGTCCCTCTCCCGTATGCTGCCGGTCGCGGGCAGACGTGTCTCCTGCAGGGCGACTATGTCCATCTGGAGCCTGCGTAGTTCATTGTTGATCACAGCTGTCTTGCGGGCGTCGTTCACTTCCAGTAGATCTTCCGAGAGACCCGGTGTCATGGTCCTTACATTCCACGTGCCCAGTTTGAGAGCTGGGTGGCTCTGTGTTTATTTTCTGTTGCCTGGTGCATGGGTTGACGATCCGCTTATTGGATTGTGGCCTAAGCCCACGCACCCAGTGGAGCAGGCGGACCATGGCGGGACAGCACCTTATTGGCTGGGGGCTGCCCAGCTTGAGGCGGGCGGTAGCTGTCCTATGAAATCGGATAATTTCTCCCACCGACGGAAGCAACCCCTGGCGCCTTACTCTACGTCAACTGAGTGGTAGGCTTATCACCGGTAACTGTCACTTCCCGTGTTGAGCCAACGCCAAGGCAACGCTGGAGTGTCCTCTCCAGGGCACAGGCCTGGGCAGTAATTATGGAGGACCAGCTGTTGCCCATGCAGCAGATCCACCCTCTCCACGCCACCGATGTGATCCAAGGGAAGGGCGGGCGCCGATACGCTTGGCGCCAGTGTCGTCGCAGGAGTTGCCGGAATGTAGCTGTAAACAGCTGCAAACTGCCTTAGGGACTCCAACTCCGGAATTTTCCTCAAGGTTGACTCCCGAAGTCTTTCCCATGAGTGGGTTTAGCCACAAGACAGCAGAGGTTTGAATTGGGGTTTTCCTTCCCCTGAATGAGCTGCCTTTCCAGGCTAACGAGTCCCATCTGCCCGAAGCAACTGGTTTTAAGGCGCCAGAGACCCGCCTTCGCCCCTTCTCCTGTTGGTAGAAGCAGTTCCGCCAGGCCTAGAGGCTAAGCCACACGTGCAGGCCAGGAGCTGGACTTGGTTGTCAGAGGCTATTAGAGACGCCCGCCATCATGGGCACTTTACAGGCTGTGGGAGCTTATCTCTACAACCTGCACCCCCCGGCTATAACAACCCTTGGAACCATAATATAATACTTTATATACCATAATATAACCATTTAATATTACTCCTTATTAAAGGTAAAATATAAAGGTGAGGGGACGACGAAATACATTCTTTAATGCAACGACTTAACAAGATTGACAACAATATCAGCAGAAAGATGTAAAGTATGATTCATTAGTTCATGAGCAGGATAATCAAGAATATCATCAACCGGTACCTTTGTAAACAAGGAACAAACGTCAAAACTGATTAACTTTACATCAGGAGTGACAGGAACACTATTCAATTTGTTAACTAATTCAGGAGAATTGGTCAAATGAGAAGAGGAAATGGTTCCTAAGCAGACGATGAGTCACAATAACGTGGCTGAAGTATGTTGACCAGACCACACACTAAAAGTTGAAGGGACGACGACGTTTCGGTCCGTCGACTTGAGAATGGTCCAGGACGGACCGAAACGTCGTCGTCCCTTCAACTTTTAGTGTGTGGTCTGGTCAACATGGTTCCTAACAATGGGGACAAGATTTTAGTAAGCCATTTAGAAAGCTTGTAAGGAAGGGATCCCACAGAACTGATGATAGGCCTCATGGGATTGTTAGGTTTATGCGTCTTGATAAGTCCATAGATATATGGTAATGAAGGTGATGATGTAGTAAATTGATTAAGAAGATCTTTATGTTTACTTTACAACTTCTTCAAGCTGCTATTGAAGAGCTTGATGATGTCCTCAAGAGGAAATTCCTGTTTCAATTTTTCCTCTGTGGTCTGACACTGTCATATACATATATTATATATATGTATATATATATAAGTCAGGGGGCAGGGCCGGCGCCAGGTCAGGGGGCAGGGCCGGCGCCAGATCAGAGGGCAGGGCCGGCGCCAGGTCAGGGGCCAGGGCCGGCGCCAGGTCAGGGGGCAGGGCCGGCGCCAGGTCAGGGGCCAGGGCCGGCGCCAGGTCAGGGGGCCGGCGCCAGGCCAGGGGCCCAGGGCCGGCGCCAGGTCTGGGGGCAGGGCCGGCGCCAGGTCAGGGGCCAGGGCCGGCGCCAGGTCAGGGGGCCGGCGCCAGGCCAGGGGCCCAGGGCCGGCGCCAGGTCAGGGGGCAGGGCCGGCGCCAGGTCAGGGGCCAGGGCCGGCGCCAGGTCAGGGGCCAGGGCCGGCGCCAGGTCAGGGGGCCGGCGCCAGGCCAGGGGCCCAGGGCCGGCGCCAGGTCAGGGGCCAGGGCCGGCGCCAGGTCAGGGGCCAGGGCCGGCGCCAGGGCCGGCGCCAGGTCAGGGGGCAGGGCCGGCGGCAGGTCAGGGGGCAGGGCCGGCGCCAGGTCAGGGGGCAGGGCCGGCGCCAGGTCAGGGGGCAGGGCCGGCGCCAGGTCAGGGGCCAGGGCCGGCGCCAGGTCAGGGGGCAGGGCCGGCGCCAGGTCAGGGGGCCGGCGCCAGGCCAGGGGCCCAGGGCCGGCGCCAGGTCAGGGGGCAGGGCCGGCGCCAGGTCAGGGGGCAGGGCCGGCGCCAGGTCAGGGGCCAGGGCCGGCGCCAGGTCAGGGGGCAGGGCCGGCACCAGGTCAGGGGGCAGGGCCGGCGCCAGGTCAGGGGCCAGGGCCGGCGCCAGGTCAGGGGGCAGGGCCGGCGCCAGGTCAGGGGCCAGGGCCGGCGCCAGGGCCGGTGCCAGGTCAGGGGGCAGGGCCGGCGCCAGGTCAGGGGGCAGGGCCGGCGCCAGGTCAGGGGCCAGGGCCGGCGCCAGGTCAGGGGCCAGGGCCGGCGCCAGGTCAGGGGCCAGGGCCGGCGCCAGGTCAGGGGGCAGGGCCGGCGGCAGGTCAGGGGGCAGGGCCGGCACCAGGTCAGGGGGCAGGGCCGGCGCCAGGTCAGGGGCCAGGGCCGGCGCCAGGTCAGGGGGCAGGGCCGGCGCCAGGTCAGGGGCCAGGGCCGGCGCCAGGGCCGGTGCCAGGTCAGGGGCAGGGCCGGCGCCAGGTCAGGGGGCAGGGCCGGCGCCAGGTCAGGGGCCAGGGCCGGCGCCAGGTCAGGGGCCAGGGCCGGCGCCAGGTCAGGGGCCAGGGCCAGCGCCAGGTCAGGGGGCAGGGCCGGCGGCAGGTCAGGGGGCAGGGCCGGCGCCAGGTCAGGGGGCAGGGCCGGCGCCAGGTCAGGGGGCAGGGCCGGCGGCAGGTCAGGTGGTCCCCCAGTCATCCCGGCGCCTCCCCATACCGCTTGTGTCCTCCCTCATCAAGCAAGGAGGAGCCGTGTATGATGAAGGGACGTCATCCGGGTGGTGTAGGAGCAGGCGGGGGGACGGAGACACGCACGAGAGGCGGAGAGAGGCTAGGAGGCGGACAGGAGGAGATGGGGGGCTAAAAGATAGGAAGGGAGGGAGGATAGGACACACCAGGGTGTGGAATATGATCGAAATGTTAGAAGACTCAGTGCTAGTAAGAACACTTCCAAGTGTCCGCTCCAGGGCTCGGGGGCCAGGACTGTGGTGGCGGGCCGCCAGGGCCATCACTACCCGTGGCCAGGGTGACGTGACCACCAGACGACACCACCAAACACACCTTTCATGGAGACAACATCTAAACGTGGACACATGTATCGGGGTGAACATTTGGATGTTCCACGTCATTTACCAATACACATCCATATGTGTTAACATACATATGAAGAGCTTACAAACACCCGCAGCTTACTGGCAAGCTTGGAGGAACTTGGCACCCGGTGTCAGCAAGGTGGACACCCAGCCATCTTATCTCAACATGTATTCCACATCTATTAACTTTTATTTCTGAATCTCTCCATCATCTTTCCTCCTAAACATCCACACAACAAGGAGGGTATGGGAGGGATGTAGGGGGGGGGGGGAGGAGGGTAGTATGTAGGGAAGGGTAGAATGGGGGTTTAGGATGAAAGAGGAGGGGGAGGGAGGAGCAGTGGAGAGAGAGAGAGCCCGTCTTATTAGTGGAACTCGGAGCTCCTTTAACTAAAGGATGAAAATAGCGCGCATTGAGGTGATGAGGCGTTGGGAGGAGAGGCAGGGTGACCAGGGTGACCAGGCAGACCAGGGTGACCAGGGTGACCAGGCTGACCAGGGTGACCAGGGTGACCAGGCTGACCAGGGTGACCAGGGTGACCAGGCTGACCAGGGTGACCAGGGTGACCAGGCTGACCAGGGTGACCAGGGTGACCAGGCTGACCAGGGTGACCAGGGTGACCAGGGTGAGCAGGCTGACCAGGGTGACCAGGCTGAGCAGGCTGACCAGGGTGAGCAGGCTGACCAGGGTGACCAGGGTGACCAAGGTGAGCAGGCTGACCAGGGTGACCAGGCTGAGCAGGCTGACCAGGGTGAGCAGGCTGACCAGGGTGACCAGGGTGACCAAGGTGAGCAGGCTGACCAGGGTGACCAAGGTGAGCAGGCTGACCAGGGGGACCAAGGTGACCAGGGTGACTAGAGTGACCAGGGTGACTAGGGTGACCAGGGTGACCAGGGTGACCAAGGTGAGCAGGGTGACCAGGGTGACCAGGGTGAGCAGGCTGACCAGGCTGACCAGGGTGACCAAGGTGAGCAGGGTGACTAAAGTGACCAGGGTGACTAGGGTGACCAGGGTGACTAAAGTGACCAGGGTGACTAGGGTGACCAGGGTGACCAGGGTTACTAGGGTGACCAGGGTGACCAGGGTGACCAGGGTGACTAGGGTGACCAGGGTGACCAGGGTGACTAGGGTTACTAGGGTGACTAGGGTGACCAGGGTGACTAGGGTGACCAGGGTGACCAGGGTGACTAGGGTGACCAGGGTGACCAGGGTGACTAGGGTGACCAGGGTGACCAGGGTGACTAGGGTGACCAGGGTGACTAGAGTGACCAGGGTGACTAGGGTGACCAGGGTGACCAGAGAGGACGGAGCCCAACACCACTGACCACACAACACCACTGGCCACACAACACCACTGGCCACACAACACCACTGACCACACAACAACACTGACCACACAACACCACTGACCACACAACACCACTGGCCACACAACACCACTGACCACACAACACCACTGGCCACACAACACCACTGACCACACAACACCACTGACCACACAACACCACTGGTCACACAACACCACTGGTCACACAACACCACTGGTCACACAACACCACTGGTCACACAACACCACTGGTCACACAACACCACTGACCACACAACACCACTGACCACACAACACCACTGGTCACACAACACCACTGACCACACAACACCACTGACCACACAACACCACTGGTCACACAACACCACTGGCCACACAACACCACTGGCCACACAACACCACTGGTCACACAACACCACTGGCCACACAACACCACTGGCCACACAACACCACTGGCCACACAACACCACTGGCCACACAACACCACTGACCACGCAACACCACTGGTCACACAACACCACTGACCACACAACACCACTGGTCACACAACACCACTGGTCACACAACACCACTGGCCACACAACACCACTGGTCACACAACACCACTGACCACACAACACCACTGGTCACACAACACCACTGACCACACAACACCACTGGTCACACAACACCACTGGTCACACAACACCACTGGTCACACAACACCACTGACCACACAACACCACAGGTCACACAACACCACTGACCACACAACACCACTGACCACACAACACCACTGGTCACACAACACCACTGGTCACACAACAACACTGGCCACACAACACCACTGGCATCACAACACCACTGACCACACAACACCACTGACCACACAACACCACTGACCACACAACACCACTGGCCACACAACACCACTGACCACACAACACCACTGGCCACACAACACCACTGGCAACACAACACCACTGGCAACACAACACCACTGACCACACAACACCACTGGCCACACAACACCACTGGCCACACAACACCACTGGTCACACAACTCCACTGGTCACACAACACCACTGGCCACACAACAACACTGGCCACACAACACCACTGGCCACACAACACCACTGGCCACACAACACCACTGGTCACACAACACCACTGGTCACACAACAACACTGGCCACACAACAACACTGGTCACACAACACCACTGGCTACACAACACCACTGGCCACACAACACCACTGGCCACACAACACCACTGGCCACACAACACCGCTGGTCACACAACACCACTGGTCACACAACACCACTGGCCACACAACACCACTGGCCACACAACACCACTGGCCACACAACACCACTGGCCACACAACACCACTGGCCACACAACACCACTGGCCACACAACACCACTGGTCACACAACACCACTGGTCACACAACACCACTGGCCACACAACACCACTGGTCACACAACACCACTGACCACACAACACCACTGGTCACACAACACCACTGACCACACAACACCACTGGTCACACAACACCACTGGTCACACAACACCACTGGTCACACAACACCACTGACCACACAACACCACAGGTCACACAACACCACTGGTCACACAACACCACTGGTCACACAACACCAGTGACCACACAACACCACTGGTCACACAACACCACTGACCACACAACACCACTGACCACACAACACCACTGACCACACAACACCACTGACCACACAACACCACTGACCACACAACACCACTGACCACACAACACCACTGACCACACAACACCACTGGCCACACAACACCACTGGCCACACAACACCACTGACCACACAACACCACTGACCACACAACACCACTGGCCACACAACACCACTGACCACACAACACCACTGGTCACACAACACCACTGGTCACACAACACCACTGACCACACAACACCACTGACCACACAACACCACTGACCACACAACACCACTGGTCACACAACACCACTGACCACACAACACCACTGGTCACACAACACCACTGGTCACACAACACCACTGGTCACACAACACCACTGGCTACACAACACCACTGGCTACACAACACTAACACTTGGGGTGAGGCACCCGGCCTCCCCCCCCCTTCTATTGGTGCTAGCGTCCCTATGTAAGATCCTCCGTAAGATCCGTACAACCACTGGCGCCGTCGTGCGGGTCAGAGACACCCGCACCAGCTGTCGTGCGGGTCAGAGACACCCGCACCAGCCGTCGTGCGGGTCAGAGACACCCGCACCAGCTGTCGTGCGGGTCAGAGACACCCGCACCAGCCGTCGTGCGGGTCAGAGACACCCGCACCAGCTGTCGTGCGGGTCAGAGACACCCGCACCAGCCGTCGTGCGGGTCAGAGACACCCGCACCAGCCGTCGTGCGGGTCAGAGACACCCGCACCAGCCGTCGTGCGGGTCAGAGACACCCGCACCAGCTGTCGTGCGGGTCAGAGACACCCGCACCAGCCGTCGTGCGGGTCAGAGACACCCGCACCAGCCGTCGTGCGGGTCAGAGACACCCGCACCAGCCGTCGTGCGGGTCAGAGACACCCGCACCAGCCGTCGTGCGGGTCACAGACACCCGCACCAGCCGTCGTGCGGGTCAGAGACACCCGCACCAGCCGTCGTGCGGGTCACAGACACCCGCACCAGCCGTCGTGCGGGTCAGAGACACCCGCACCAGCCGTCGTGCGGGTCAGAGACACCCGCACCAGCCGTCGTGCGGGTCAGAGACACCCGCACCAGCTCCACCAGTAATCACTTCCTCCTGGCACAAACTGCCGTATATACAAATCAGAAAATCTTGGTATGATTTTATATTACAGAAAATGGGAAGTTGTGTTAATAGTGATATATAAAAATAGGGAATTTTATTTAATAGTTATATATTAAATGGGAAGGAAAGGAAAGAAGTGGGAAGAAGTGGGAATTAAATGGGAAGGGAAGGAAAAGAATGGAACTATCGGGAGAAAGCGTCAAGCCATTACGACTATATAGCACTTGGAAGGGATTAGGATAAGGATTTGGGATGGGACCGGGGGGGGGGGGGGGAAGGAATGGTGCCCAACCACTTGGACGGTCGGGGATTAAACTCCTTCCTTGAAAGTTGTATTTAATAGTATCAAGTCAATTCCGTTTCATATACAAATAGCAAGCTTTCTGTAATGCAAATATAAAACTGCCCATTTTCTGAAATATTAAATAAAACTGCCAATTTTTTATCATTAATAAATAAAACTATTAAAAAATGGGAAGTTGTATTTAACACTGATATAGAAAATGGGGGTTTTATATTTAATAATGTTTCAGAAAATGGGTAGTCTTATATTTGCATCACAGAACGCTTGCTCTTATTATAAGAAATGGGATTTATTTGATGGTATTAGAGAGAACTGGAGAGATTATATCTGGCTGAGGAGACGAGAGTGATTTGATCTTGTTAGGGAAAGCGGGCTTGAGGTTGGTGTATGGCGAGCCCCGGGCCGCCCGCACCAACCATAAACCCAAGTTTATGGCCCTAACCTTCTCCTCCTCCTCCTCCTCCAGACCCTCCTTCTGTCAGCTCTGTTTACCTCTTAACATATTTGTTCTCTTTATGTGTTCTCTGCGGTTGTGTCCTCTCATGCTCTTCTTCGTTGTAGCGTTTCTCTTCGTTGTATCGTTTCTCTTCTTCGTTGTATCGTTTCTCTTCTTCGTTGTAGCGTTTCTCTTCTTAAGAACATAAGAACAAGGTAACTGCAGAAGGCCTATTAGCCCATACGAGGCAACTCCTATTTATAACCACCCAATCCCACTCATATACATGTCCAACCCACGCTTGAAACAATCGAGGGACCCCACCTCTACCACGTTACGCGGTAATTGGCATCACAGATCAGTCTGCTGCCTGGAAGAGCTTCACCTGCTTGAGCAAGCCCGTGAGCTCCTGCCTGTAGAGAGGTTACCTCCCTGGGAGGATGACTCATGCAAGATCATCATCAATGAAATGGCAACGAAAAAATCCAACATGATACCACAAGAAATGAGGCACAAGTATCTCGAGGAAATTTATAAAGAAGCCGGAGATGAACTAGATCAAATCTACACTGACGGGTCATCTAATCCTGTCAATGGCAGGACTGGTGCAGCATACACGGTAATCAAGGATAATACTTTCCAACGCAGAAATGAAGAAAAAGCGCGTATTGAGAACTATGCCTCTTCAACGCAAGCAGAGCTAACTGCCATTGTTATGGCGTTAAGGTTTCTTGAACGGAACACTAATGGTGCAGTGATTTGCACCGATTCAAAAGCAGCACTGCAAAGCCTAAGTAAAAATCGGGCAGAAAATCTTGCAATAGTCGCTGAAATTAAGAGAGCTGTGAGAGTACTTACCAATCAGGGAAGAGTCATCAAGTTTCTGTGGATCCCCTCCCATGTTGGAATATGTGGGAATGAACGAGCAGATGTGCTGGCTGCTGAAGGAGACCATATTGAATACTTCATACCCAAGACTCTACTACAAATTAGAGGTATTGTCAGGCAACATCACCGTGACAAGGTAACTGAGGAAAGGAGGATAGAAGCACAAACTAGTGAATCTATACGATGGTACAACATGGTTGCAGCTGACAATCCCAATCATTATGGCCGAAGAGGAGGAGGACGAGGGAGAGAATCAGTAATACCTGATTTTAATAGCCTAAGAAATTTTTTGGGTCAAATTGATTGGAAAGTCTTGGGTATGGGGTGTGGGCCGGTCTTGGAACGAGACATGAACCCAGCGATAGGTGACTTAAATGGGGATTTCGATGTGGATTCAATATATAACTTATTTAAGAATATTCTAAACAAAGCACAGGAACGTAGTATACCATACAAATTGAATAGATCGAATACTAATGACCCAAAGTGGATAACAAAGAATTTGAAGAACCTTATAGGTAAAAAGAGAGCTTGGTACAAAAGGATTAAAAATGGGGAGGTCACTTTAGAACAGGAATTCATACAACTGGTTAGAAATGTTAAAAAAGAGATAAGGAAAGCAAAAAGAAACTATGAAGTTCGCATAGCAGGGCAAGCAAAGACAAATCCTAAAGTTTTTTTTCAGTTATATCGTACTAAGACTAGGGAAAGGATAGGTCCATTAAAAACTGAGACAGGTCAAATAACAGATAGTGATGAAGAGATGAGTAGTATTTTTAATAAATATTTTGTATCTGTATTTACTAAAGAGGAACTTAACAATATGCCTTCAGCCGAACAAGTCTATGTGGGTGGGTACGAGGACAGGTTGACGAGTTTTGCAGTTACCAGGGAGGATGTTCTTAAACAAATAGTAAAACTCAAACCAAACAAATCCCCAGGGCCGGATGAAGTGTTTGCCAGGGTGCTTAAAGAATGCAAAGAGGAGCTTTGTGACCCACTGTCAACCATATTTAATAAATCAATAGAGTCAGGCAGAGTGCCAGAGTTTTGGAAAGTTGCTAATGTGATACCAGTTTTTAAGAAAGGAGATAGATCACTTGCGTCTAACTATCGACCAATTAGCCTAATGTCTATTGTGGGAAAGTTACTCGAATCGATAATAGCAAATAAAATTCGTCTTCATCTTGAAAAACATAAATTAATAATTGAGTCGCAACATGGTTTTATACATGGCCGTTCATGTTTAACAAATTTGTTATCTTTTTATTCTAGCATAGTTGAGGCAGTTGATAGAGGTAAGGATTGTGATGTTGTGTACCTTGACTTTAGCAAAGCTTTTGATACAGTGCCACATGAAAGACTGATTAAAAAGATAGAGTCTCATGGTATTGGGGGTGCTATATTAAGCTGGATTAGGGCATGGCTATACCAAAGGAAACAGAGAGTTAGTATAAATGGAATCAAGTCAGAGTGGGAAAATGTTGTAAGTGGAGTGCCTCAAGGCTCTGTCCTGGGACCTCTGTTGTTTATAATATATATAAATGATTTAGATTCAGGTTTGAGTAGCAACATTTGCAAATTTGCCGATGATACGAAAATCGGTAGGGAAATTAATTCGGAGGAGGACTCACTATCACGTCAAGTTGATCTAGATAGGGTTTTGAAATGGTCAAAGGATTGGCAGATGCAGTTTAATGCTGATAAATGTAAAGTTCTGAAGTTAGGTAATGATGATAGAGTTACAAGATACGAGCTAGATGGTGTTGAGATTGCAAAGTCGGATTGCGAAAGGGATCTGGGAGTTATGATTAGTAAGAATTTAAAACAAAAGGATCAATGCATAAATGTTCGTAATAAGGCAAATCGGACACTTGAATTTATTAATCGCAGCGTTAGTAACAAGACACCTGGTGTGGTTCTCAAGCTATCTTTCTCTAGTTAGGCCCCATTTAGATTATGCAGTTCAGTTTTGGTCGCTATATTATAGAATGGATATAAATTCACTTGAACGTGTCCAACGTAGGATGACTAAGTTAATTCCTCAAATTAGAAATCTTTCATATGAAGAAAGATTAACAAAGCTTAAGTTGCATTCACTGGAAAGGCGGAGAGTTAGGGGTGTTTAGGAGAGTCTCCTACAGTTGTTGGCACTTACCTACAATAGTTGGCACTTACCCACAATAGTTGGCACTTACCCACAATAGTTGGCACTTATCCACAATAGTTGGCACTTACCCACAATAGTTGGCACTTACCTACAATAGTTGGCACTTACCCACAATAGTTAGCACTTACCTACAATAGTTGCCACTTACCCACAGTTGCTAGCACTTACCCACAATAGTTGGCACTTACCTACAATAGTTGGCACTTACCCACAATAGTTAGCACTTACCTACAGTTGTTGGCACTTACCTACAATAGTTGGCACTTACCCACAATAGTTAGCACTTACCTACAGTTGTTGGCACTTACCTACAATAGTTGGCACTTACCCACAATAGTTGGCACTTATCCACAATAGTTGGCACTTACCTACAGTTGTTGGCACTTACCTACAATAGTTGGCACTTACCCACAATAGTTAGCACTTACCTACAATAGTTGCCACTTACCCACAGTTGCTAGCACTTACCCACAATAGTTGGAACTTACCCACAATAGTTGGCACTTACCTACAATAGTTGGCACTTACCCACAATAGTTGGCACTTATCTGCAATAGTTGGCACTTACCCACAATATCTGGCACTTACCTACATTTGTTGGCACTTACCTACAGTTGTTGGCACTTACCTACATTTGTTGGCACTTACCTACAGTTGTTGGCACTTACCTACAGTTGTTGGCACTTACCTACAGTTATTGGCACTTACCTACAGTTGTTGGCACTTACCTACAGTTGTTGGCACTTACCTACAGTTATTGGCACTTACCTACAGTTGTTGGCACTTACCTACAGTTGTTGGCAATTACTGTTACGGTACCCTCTCCTATTTCTTCCGTTTGCCTGCTTTAAGAGTCATATCAGCTTTCTCTACTGATTCTCTGAGGTACAGGGAGTCTGTTGGTATATGTGTCGACCAGACCGGCCCCCAGATAAGGGAGAAATTTACGTTATAAGTTGTAGGTAAGGGGAAAGTGGCGCCCTGATATAAATGAAAGAGTTCCCCCTACCTGCAGATATGCCGTTTTGTAAAGGACACTAGCCGATTGCGGATTGGCCGACTTAGGTCGGCGGCGACCAATCAGAGCCCGCCGTGACGTCATCGAGTGCCCCGGGCGGCGCCAACGTCAGAGCTGGTCTGACTACGAAGGGGAGAGGACGTTTCTCGGTTACCTCTCAAGGATTTGAGGCTCTACACGCCTTACTCAGTGCATTAGAGCTAGCCATCGCAGCCCACCATCGTTATTGGAGACCCTGCGCTTCTGGGAAGCAAGAAGAAGCCAAGTTCATTGAGCAGAGGAGTGCCAAACTTGGAAAATTTATCGGCGACGACGCTGGGCGGCGCCGGGTCACGTTCACTGAGGACTTTGGAGGGACGACACCGTTCCTAGGGCAAGGAGCAACGCCTTGTGGAAGGGACGAGTGTGCGCATATAGTGATTAGCTCAGTGCCCACTGGTGAACCAGGATTGGGATATCTGAATCTCTGTGAATGGTTCAGCGACGACGCGAAGGCTTCACGACACCTGTGGACATGTGGAATGTTCCTGGATCGTCAAGGACCGACTCAGGAAGCGTGGGTACCATCGAGGGACAGGCGTCGTGAGCCAGGAATGTAAAAGTAGATCAATTTCCCTCCCATTACCCCTTGTTTGATTAGGCTAGATAGGCCATTATGTTCATATGTGTGTTATAGTATAACGTTGATACACCAGTAGTAGGATAGGCTGCAGGACAGCTTGTGTTCAGGACTGTTGAAGAGGACAGTGTGTGTGGACGACGGGGCAGTTGAGGAGAAGGTGCCGGCCGACGTGGACGAAGAGGCCCCTCTGTGAGGGAGTGTGTGGCCCCCTTTTA